CCCCAAAACCCCAAAACCCCAAAACCCCAAAACCCCTTTTCGTCGATTTTTAGTTGAAATTAAAGAGATTGCTTTATTAAGGCCTCTAATTCATCTTTTTGGATAATGAATTGTCTCAGCATCTCGACTTGAAGGTTTGAGAAGTAGCCTGCTAGTTCAGATTCGTGGGAGATGAGCTTCTCATCGATGAGAGAGGAGAGATATTTCTTTTGCTTTGAGGTGAAGATAGGACCCACGTATGGACCTTCAAAACCAATGGAGGAATCTTTGTCATCTTCCATTTCGACATCAGCTGAAGAGAAGGTTTGTTCCTCACCCTCCTCTATTATTTTCTGGATTCCGTTGTTTGACTTGTTCTTTAGCTCTCTTGTGACCTTTACCTCAGCTCTGTTGTTTGTTTTCATAGGAATCTTTTTGCTCTCAACTTTGTTCTTGGCTCTTCTCTCAGCATGGGTTTTTGATCTAGTTTCTGATTTAAGTTCCTCGTATGACCTGATTTTTGATTTATCGGCTTCCTTTTTCTTAGACTTCAGCTTTTTGGTAAGATTATCTGGGCGTTTAAATTCAAGAGATCTGATCGGATTCCCTTCATGGCCTTCAAGAATGTACTTAACATCAGAAGTTCTGAGGAAGTAAATGTAAATAAATCCTTTATCAGACCCAGCTGCAATGTTTATTCCATCCGAGTGGAAAGAGAGGGCAGATAAAGGTTCTGGTGCTTCAATAGTTTTTACATTATTTCTTATCCTCTATATCGAAAAATTGGATTTTTGAGTCTAGCCCTCAAGAACACATCAGAAGCTCATTTGTAGGTGAGAAAATTATCCCTGTTCAAGGTTTTGAATGTGGTGAGTTATCAAATATGTGATAGAGCTCAAAGTTCTCAATATCCCATACTATGACATGTCCATTATCACCTCCAGTTGCTACTAAATCATGCTTGAATTTTGAAAAGCTTAATCATCGAATTGGTTCTGAGTCGTGTTGAAGAGTTTCTTTAATCATCTTCCTCTGTGTATCTATAATATAGAGTATACCTTTATCTGAGCCAGCTATTAAGATTTTAGAGTCTATTTTCCAAGCAATACAAGTGATCCCTTCCATTTCATCATCGACAACTTCAAAGTCAAGTTTACGATTAGGGATGTCCCAAATTTGGATCTGGCCACCATCACTTCCTGTAGCAATGTACTCATCTGTTTTGGAGAAGGCTGCTCACAGGAGAGGGTATCTATCATTTCTAAATGTCCAGGTTTTTCTGCCAGTGCGGGCATTACTAAGTATGACACAGCCATCATCTCCTCATGTAGCTACTACTTGTCCATTGGAACTCCAAGTGCATCCATTGACATAATTTGAGTCGTGAGGGGACATCTGTAAGACCCCTTCTTTGTGCTCGAAGTTATGAAGAATCACCTTGTCTGAAGCGGACACTAAGTTTGCCATTTTGGTATTAAATTTAAACTTATGAGCTAATTATTATATACTTAGATATAAGCGGGGTTTTGGGGTTTTGGGGTTTTGGGGAGAT